ATCATCTAACTTGCCAAAGAGCCCAATGAATTAAACACCACAGAGCAAAGTCTTTTTTCTGTGTCAATACTTTTTGCAGGAAAAAAATATTAATGCAATTATTTTAATGCTCACACTAAACTCAGGACTTTTAATTCCGGAGGCCTTCATGGGTGCCTGGCAATGCAGCATCCTGTTCCTGATTTTCATACTGCAGTACAGCCCATTACACCACTAAACACAAATAAATATGGATCCAAGCACCAGTGCATCCATGCCTAGGAAAATGCCCCCAACACATAGGGATCCTCTCTACAGAAGGTTGCAGTGTACAGCAGACGAGTGGCCAGAGCACCACTAATTCAGGAAAATATTTATTCAGACTGTGACCTCAGGCCTGCAAGTGAAAGCAATGAAGCTGCTCCTGAAATGAAGCATGGGCATAAGTGCCTTGCAAATCAGGACCTGAAAAAGCTGCAGATACTTTCTCTTTCAAATAGGATGAAGCCTTATTTTCCCATGGCTCATTTTTCTCTCTCCTGGATACCTCTGGGCACTAAATGTTTAGGGATCCTGTGACTTACAGAATGCAAAATCAGGAGCAGAGCTACTGAGCACTCTTGGGGAGCACAATAGCCAAGGGTTTACGCAAAGGCTTGACAGAAGAACCAAGATTATAAAGCTGGGGAGAGGTGAAGAAATCGGTCACAGTACAAGAGCAAGAAGAAATAGCAGAATATTTTTGATTCTAAGCATTTTTAAAGCAAATGGATGGCTACAAGTACTGACCATGACACTACAGCAAGCAGGATTGAGATTCCTCTGGCATCACAGCTGTTGTGTTGTGCAAGCCACAGCCATGTTGGAAAACTGTCCTGGTTTTGTAACCTGAGAACAAATTTCTTGCTGATTTTAAAAGATGCTGGTTCAGGCTAAAGGTGGAGAGGATTTGTCTTTCTACAGTGGTTCAAATGTTGAAGCCCAGCTACATTATTACCATGGCAGCCATAGRAAATGCCTGGGCACTGCCTGTTGCCCAATCTTTCTGGGCTGCCAGAGTTGTCATTTTTCACATACAGGATAATTGAACCTAATCAAACTAGATAAGTGCATTTTCACAGCACCCTTTGSAGAAACAGGGAACAGTAATTAAGGCTGCATTAGAATTTCCATTATAAAGTCCTACTTTTGAAACTTCAATACTTYGTATTTAAGATATCCTTACCAAATGGCAATTTGGCACACAGAGATGAAAACTTTGAGAAAAAGCAGCTCTTGCTCTAAAGTAATAAGGTCTCACTAATTTCAACTACATAAAATGAGGCCCAGCATTARCTGTCTATGTGTGGTAGATTTAAATCCCTGGCAGGGTGAAATAATAATTTTACCTAACATARTTTTTACTTATTTTCTGGGCCCTTGAATAATATCCCTGTTTTTGCAGAGCAAGCAGGTAGTTTATGGACTGGCTAAGGARGCTTTCATACCTAAATCCCAGCAGCCATGTCTCCTTGCTCTAAGAAGRATGCATTGCTTTGGCTGGAACCTGAGATGTGCCTGCACACCCACCAGCTCTGCTATCAGCACCTTGAYTTATAAAATGCCATACATAGACATTTTCTTAATAACAATGCCAAGGAGGCAGAAAACAAATCCTTCAAACTCTTAGGAAAGTACAATTTTTAAAAAACTCTATAATATGAAGATTTCATTAAGCAGGGGCTTGTATCCAGGCATTGTGGAGCTATAGCTTGGATGGTTGAGGGCATGTTGACACCACATCCCCTCAAGAGCTGCAAGGTGATGCAGAGGTAGGCAAACCCACCCAGATGAACTGAAAGGYTTCTCTGCCCAATAGTTTTCTTCTCAGGTAGGCCTGCAGGTCATGAGAAGTTTCATGCTGCAGCAGTTAAAAGTGGTCACTGCACAACATTCACATCCACGAACAGTGCTCTCTGGAACCAAGAGACACAAAAACTTAGGATGCTGYGTAGCCTGGAGATGTAAAAAGGCTTACATGAGTCTCCCACTATCTTCCTCATGTGGTAGCATTAGCAGCACTAAGTACTGGTGGAAATCTCCCATCCCTTACATGCAAAGATATTTTAGTTAAATGGCTAATCCATTTCTCCAACTCTCAAATACAGCAATTCATACCCTGTCTTTCAAAAGCATCCCTTCTCTACACCCAGTTTAGAATTTGATCCAAGGTATTACACAATTGCTAACTGGATTGCTCAGACATTCTGTAGCTAACAAAAAGGAAAATAATTCCAGATTAAATTATGCAACATTTCCAGTAGCATCCTTCCTTGCCTTCTCTCACCCCTTTGAAAAGATTGATGAAACCCAAAATTTCTTAAGCATATTGACTTAAGCAAGCAATGGTAAGAAAGAGACTCAGAACTGCTTCTTATTTAAACATCAACTTCTCCTGGCATGCCCCAGGAAATTACACTCAGTACCTCCTTCTCAGCATCTTCCCCAAGCTGGAACCCAGCTATTTTCTTCCTCCAAGTTCTGGCCTTGAAGTAAAATTTCCAGTTGGGTAAAGCCACATGGGTCACAGCATTCTCCACGCTTACAAAGTCTGCAATTTTTTGCTCCTTTTAATAAAATTAGGACATTTCAGAGACAGCTTGTTTCTGTCTCATCTTTAAAACTGTTCTCTTTCATGCAATTTGATCTGCCTAACACTCCTCTTGTATCACCTCCATGGTGTTAAACAGCATCAAGCAGGCAAGCTCTATAAAAACACAGCAGTATAGATTTCAATCTCCTTGGTTTTACACAGAAACTGTGCCCTCTTTCATCTCAAAACGCCTAATCATCACAATCTAACAAATTCTATTTTATCATGGTACTATGACTATTTTAAAGCAATAAGAAATGCAGTGTTAATTCTTTCTAAAGCTTTTGTAGAGCTTAATGAAATCCAAACTGATGTTATCAATTGATGTTATCGCCTCCCCACAGTTCCAAATTCTTTGCTTTCAATATTCCACATCTTGACTTATTAAAAGAAATTGTGCATGTTATTGTAGTTATTCAACAACATTTTAAGAAATCAAATGTAAGATGATTTCCCAGAGCTGACACAAAATGCTGACATAATTCAAATACTCTTGTTAAAGGAGAAACAGCATGAAAATAATTTTTATTAATTTTCAAGTATAAAACAGTAATTCTACATTTGCTTATCCAATGCAAATTATCTTTCCTGTGGTCAGTTCCAGCATAAACTCTTAGAGATATTTTACACCATCATAATGGATTGCATTTAATAACTGAAACATATCAAAATTAATTTGTGAGACCAGAAGAATGAAACAAAATTAATGTYAAGATCCAACATTATTCCACATTCCTTGCAGAGTACCCCAGAGAACAGGGCAACTAAGCAGTCTTACATTTGTTTGTGAGCRGTATCCATTCTAGGATTTGATCCTTTTGCACTTCAGATATCTCAGATATTATTTCTTTCASATATTATCTTCCTGTACTAGTGTGCAGAGACATTCCTCTGCCTAACAGGAACCAATGGCTTCAGGTTTTTAGTTTAGACCCAAACTAAAGTGCCAGACCCAATAAGCCAAGAGTCAACTACAAACCTGACCCTAGGCCATGATCCCCTGCCAGTCTTCCCCTCCTTAGGTTATCCAAGCACCTTCCACTAGATAACTAACACTTACTGACAGTGGAATAATAAAAAATAAAGCAAGCAAAACTCAAATCAGAGACAGAATTTCCCCTTCTGTGTATGTAACAATAAAGAATCCGTGCATTTAAGAACAGATGTAAATATAATTAATTTAGAGTATCCTGAATAGGATCATTCAGAGTATCCTGAATGAGTAGCTGCTGTAGACCATGACATAGAAGCACAGACAAACAACTACTTCATTCTGAAAGTCTGAACTTGAAAGCAGATTGTCAGATGCAACAACAGATGAAAACATAGTAGAGAGAAGGCCAGGAAGGCCAATTCTGCATTCAATTGCCATCACAGTGCAGGTGGGACACTCTATAGTTACGTGAAGAACCTTTGTTGTRCAATTAGCCAGCCACAGCACAAACACTAGTGGTTGCTTTGTGATGCCAGCCAAAATGAACTTTGCAATTATGCTCCARTCTAATATATTTCATTGTTGTTGCTTCGGTGAGATTTTTTTTTTAGTTTGTTTGCATTTGGGTTTTTTTTTTGTGGTCTTTTTTGTTGTTGCTGTTGTTGATATTTCAGTGGAGGTGGTGGTAATGTTTTATTTAAAATGCTTCTGATGATAAAGAAATTTACAATCTATTTGCAATCTAGTAATACTAGAAATTTCACCAATAAATATGACCACATTTTCAGCCTACAGACATGGTAGTGTCTGTGAAGAGCAAAATTTCAGACAAAATCCAGGACTTCCTTTTTCTACAAGTGCCATAAGTTCTAGTTAGCAAAAAAAAACCAAACAAACCAGTAGACAGTAGCAGAGCCCTTGAATAAGTCTGAATTTTTAATACATTACTTCCACATTCAGTAGAAGCTGAAAAATCAATCTGTACAATTAGGAAGGCACTACCAATGCAATGGGCTTCAAGGCATAATGAGGCCAATTGGGACATTTTTGYAACAAGATGTTTTGTTTTGGTCCTTAGAAGACAAAGTTTTTAACAGGTATAATGGTGGTGTGGTTGGTTAAAAATTAAGCTACTATAATTGCAGGGTGTCAAACACTTCTATGTTTCAGGTAGCATAAAACCCTCACCTTATTTTGTTCATCCAGAACATCCAAGATTTCAATTCACAAGTAATGTGTATTATTCTGAGTAAAAGTATATAATTTTATCATCAGTGTTTGTTCATCTGCTTCGTCTGCTAGAAGGCCTGGTATACATTCATATGTGTCTTTTTTATTTTACAATTACCTAATTTCAGCATTTAAAGATTCCTCAAACAGAAGTTCTAAAACCCCACTTTGTTCCAATGCCTATGCAAAACATCAGTTCCACTTCCAGAAAAAAATTCTGTTTTGTTTAATGCGCTGCCTTGCACAATCATCTTCTTCTTCTACTACAGGTTGGAACGAGTCAGCCAGGGAAATTCCTGGAAGCAAAAAAACAAAACAACACAGAATAAAAACCTTATCAGAATGGGCAAACAGTAATAGGTATAGTAGTACCAGATGGAATCCACAGAATAGAACAACTGCTCAAAAATGTTTCATCCCATTTGGTCTAGAATGAAAAGGAATAACCTTAAATTCTGGAAACAGCCATTAAGGACACCATGCATTAATAATAGTCAGTGGGGGAAAAGATCCCCAAACACACAAATAGCACRGAAAGCAGATGGCAAGGTGTAAAAGAATCTATTCTCCATCTTCCAMATCCAAACACAGTCTTTTGCCTTGTAAATCTCTGCCTCCTCTGTGGTTTAAGCAATARTTCCTGGGGTTTTCAGAAGCTCATCACCATGAAGCTTGCAGAAAAAGAAAGGAAAACACATACATACCTGTTTCTTTCTCTCAGATTGTGGATTAATCATTACATTTATAAGAGAAGGTGTCTGCTTGTCAGCCACACTGGCTTTCAGAGCATTCTGCAATTCTTCCGGTGTTTTAACAAAATATCCTTTACCTCCAAAGGCAGACATAATTTTCTCATAGTGTGCATTTGGCAGGAGAGAAACAGGAGGTACACTGTAACAGAATGGAAAACATGAACAATGGCAGGGAGAATTGCCAGGCTGACCAATTTAATTACTTTAGTACCAGTTTTAAAATGCAAGGTGTTTACTGTGCTGGCCTGATGAATTCTTCTGGGCTGAAAGAACTATGGTTCCTATATCCCTAAAGCTGCATTTACAGGGTACCACACTCTTTTTTATATTTTGGACACATTCCTGAGCAAAGSTTTAGCATAGTTCTCTTCATACAGAGAACCCAGCTTCAGAAGTTCTGTGTAAGATCAGAACTCAGGTCTCACGTAATTTTGGAAATTATCAGGATTTTGAAGCCCACTATGAACTCTGTACTGTGTGGGCTGAAATGCTGCAGGAACCTGAGAAAACTAGTAGAGAATCATCTCTGTGCTGCACTGATGTGCAAACAATAGGCTGGAATTAGGCTGGCTGCCTGCTTTTGGTAATTGGTTTTAATTTACATTAATTTAGCCCAGGGCTAAATTGACTTTATAGAAGTCATTTCAATCTGCATCACAAAGCATTAAAAATGAAGAGATGACAATTTTGGTCACTTTTTCTGTGATTAACACAACTTACTTTGAAGATGCTTACCATGTAGCAGGATCTCCAAACTTTAACATCTCCTCCCAGGAATCTGCATCCAAGCCAGTGTAAATCCCATTGTTGTTYACTACAATAATCAGGATTGGCAAGTTGTATCTACAAAAACACACATTTGGAAGAATTTTGAAATACTTGTTCCTTTCTGTAAGCTGTTAAAAGTAACAGGAAAAAAATCAATTCCACCTGAAACCTGATCAAATCATCACTGGTAAAGCACTAYATCACAACAACATAAAAATGAGTGTGTATGATTTTTTCTTTGTTTTCGTGTGCTTTATGGGTAACGCATCCGCAAGCAGCATCTTTGGCCTTGTTAAAGTGATCCTGAAGAGCAACTTCTTGAGGCAAAAAAAAAAAGTTACCTGCAAATAGTCTCCACCTCCATCCCAGAAAATCCAAAAGCACTATCTCCTTCTATGCAGACAACTTGCTTTCCAGGTGTTCTGTCTTTGGCCACCATTGCAGCTGCTAYGGCAAAACCGAGCCCCACTCCCATCGTTCCAAAAGTACCTGCATCAAGCCTAAAGGGAGAATACAGAATTACTGTCACTTTATTTCTACTCAATTTCTTCAATTAATCCATGGTGCCTTACTTTTACTTTCAATATTTTGCCATATAGTATTCAAATCCCATTTTATAAACAATTGGTATCAAGAGATACCAGATGTGGAGATAATTATATTCAGTCAAMCATTTGATAAAAATGCAAATGTTTTAAGCAATATAAACATACTGGAACTCTAATTCAAAYTAAGAATGCTTGTACACTAATACTACAATAAAGAACTATTCTCATATGCTTTTAGCTTGCATAGTAACAGTATTTCAAAAACATTCAATTACTGTAGAGACAGACAACATGAAATATTTCTATATTTAATTCCTTGAAAATGTAACTATTAGTCTGAAAGCCATTGATTAAATACTGCTGTTCAAATTTTAGTCTTCTGTTCAACCATTTGAAATCAAATTGAAAGCTATAATTTAGTTAGATCATTTCAATCAGAAGCMCATAATGGATACAAAAGTACATAAAGCACTAGATTATTCCAGGGTTAACTTCTCAAATTTGCTTTCAGATATGTGCAATGCAATCTGAAGAGACAACCAGTAACATTACTGTGTCCTTATTTTAAATAAGGGGGAAAAATGCAAACTCTTCCCCCAACTCTACTGGAAGTACATGGATAGGGTTTTCTTAATACTGTTAATACTGTTACAAAGCAGTATTTTGAGTACCTACATCTTAGGCATGCATGTTGGCATGCCTATCTTAGGCATGCCCTATATAATCCAATTTTCAWGTTTTCCCCATTTTGAAGTGTTTCAAAGAAAAATTCTTCACATGAATTCTTTTCAACGTGAGAATCCCCATGATTGTATTCATTTTTAATCAATATTTACCACAGATTCGGAACGCAGAAACAAACGTCTAGGTCAGGGAATTGAACATTATACTCATCACTCACTTTCCACAAGAGAGAGAGTAACTGTCAGTTGCAGAGCATGCAGAGAATTGTTAAAATCTATGACAGGACATCAGTATGTGAGTGGAAAACTTTCCCTAATCCCTCTCCCAACATACTGAACTTCTATTTTCCAGACTATACTTCTTAGCTAAATTAAAACATTCAGCAGAAATGTAGCCTGATGAGTCAGCACAATATAGAAGATACCATACCTTTGACGGGGATAGAGATTTGGAAGCATAGTTCGTCCAATGTCCATGGTGTTTGCTCCCTCACTGACTAAAATGCAGTCCTTGGGTATCAGTTCTCTGATGTGATGAAAGACTGTATAGTAATTCATAGGCAGAGATTTCTGTAGTGCTAATCCCTTAAAAAGAAAAGATATTCGTAACTCCTATGAACAGAATTCATAATAAAGTGCAAAACATAAAGGCACATCAATAACGATGAAAATAAAAATAGCCTTTGCTATGTAAGGCTGGAGTATTTGGTTTTCCATACACTACATCAAAGTCACTGCTTCTGTATCTATCCTGATGACACAGCATACTTATTAGAGGCTCAACAAGCTCAGCAATCCCTCAATGGACCATCATTAGCAGAAGCTATTAAAACTCAGTTTAACCCAAGRGGCACATGAAATTCTTCTCCACACAGGTTTGACTATTGACAACCCTAAGTGAGCTGTCATCTGTGTGATGGGAGGTAGTTGAAAAGAGCAATCTAAAATAAATTTATTTTAGATTTCTATCTTGGAAACATGCATCTGAAGTTTCAGAATATGAGTTACATAGAGTTAGGTATTCATCAAACATCTGTGGTCTCTTGGTCTTAAGAGCTACTTCCTTTCAACATAGATTATACCTAGACCAGCAGTGCTAGACTGCACAATTACAAACAATAATTACAATTAGAAGAAAACTARGAATGCATCTTAACCTAAGCCAGCTTCCACCTGGAGTATTTGGAGTATCTGTCCATTGCCTGGAAGTCACTGCCCATAATAAAGCAGCTCTGGTGGTGGCCTCCTATTAATGGCTTATAGAACCCAATTTCAAAGTTCAATGCCTTCCACACAGTTTGAATTTATACAAAATCATAGAATAATTAACCTATAATGCTTACAGTTTAAGMCTGTATCAGAATGGTACAAATTTTCAAAGTCTGAGTAAAGTAACTGGGAAGTAATTGAGAAGGTTGGATATACACTAGTTACAAAACTGACCATATATCAGTGCCTGTTATAGAAAAGAAGAAACTTCTAAATTTCTTTRATGTCACACTACCTTCGATCTTTCCTCATTGTTCTTTATTTTCTCTCTTAGCCTCTTCCACCACTCTGAATTAGAAGGGTATTTCCATGACCTTTTGTTGAATTCTTCTAAGAGCTGGAACAATATTGAAATATTAAAGAGGGGTTTTTCAATATATTTTAAAGACAACAAAAGCATCAAGAGTAACATTATCAAGAATGATCCCAGCACAATCACAGCAACACTAATCAGAATCTTTAACACATAATTTGAGAACACACTGGATGCAYAGCATGAATATACTGCCTGAAAATGGTTTTCCTTGAACAGTAGGGGTTTTATTCCTTTATTTTTAACTGGCAACTTGCTTTATATGAATCAGAGGAAATTAAGGTCAAAAATAGAGGACAAGGGACATTACGTTACCTGCTTAGTCACAGCGTTTATGTCACCTAATAAAGTTGCAGCTGGCCTTACATTATTCCCCAGCTCTTCTGCACAAATATCAATCTGTATTYCAGAAAGAAAGACCATCATTAACTCAAGCATATCAGTGAGAACATTTCTTTTCAGTTTAAGTGAGAAACATGGTCTAACATACATATATGTCTAACATGCATATATTGTCTTCATACCTTGTTTTGTCTGTACAGATAACTTCCTTTGCCTTTCCTTGACATGACATCAGGAAATCTTTTATAAAGATAAAACCCTATGTTACATAGCTATTTTAATAAAAATTCATATAYACTCTTAAAATTGACTGCTTTCTTCTTTCGAGCTCTTGCAGACACTATAGAACTTTATTATAGCATTAAGGAGAAGGTGGTGAATATCRTGATAATTGTATGACAGCTAAAAATCTAGGCTTAGGTACACCCTTAAAGTCTATACAAAGCAGCAATTTTCTTACTGAGAAAACTGTGTGCTACTTGACAGTAAGAATTCAGCTAGAATGAAKAAATGGAAAAGTAAGTTGCAACTACTGAAGCAAATTTCCTTATCAGTGATGCACGAGCCTTCTAAGATTACATAAACTGTTATTTATGACCAGGTCACACAGACTATAACCTGACTCAGTATTTCAATACTGATCTCTGACAGCAAAAAAAAAGAAAAAAAAGAAAAAAAAGTGAGATGAAAAAATATTTTCTTTGCATTTTTTAGAAAGAGGAAACAAAGTACATATCATTTGTAAAAATAATAATTGCAAAAATGACATGTGAAAATTTAGTTTAAAAATTAATGCTATTGAAAGTCTGGAACTTCAGATCATGTTCCAGGTCAGTGTAAGCAGGACAGCCAGCACATTGAGTCAGCCACTAGTAYTTGATCACAGACTCTTAGGGAGGAGATTTTAAGGACACAATTTAAAGACTTCTCTTTCTAAGAGCTGGCAGATTGTCAAATGCATKAATTAGTTAAATAGCCTTTCTTCCTCTTATTTCATTAACATTTCCGAGTGACTGATCTCTTGCATTATGACTGACTCAGGATCTGAAAGCAATTCTATTTCAAAAAAAAAAATCAGCTAAGAGAGCAAACAGTAYGAAAGATTCCACAATTTCAAAGAGAGTTTGCTTTTAATCATGGAAATTCCAGTGCTCCAAAGATCATGACAGTATCATGARTCTAACCCTGYATTAGCCAACTGCATCAAAGTATCYGCCCTCCTTCTTATAGCAGCACCAAGCTCTTGATACTGGGAACAATACTGTAAGCATCCTTAGAAAAAAAATAATGAAGTAAAAACAATAATTGAAGAAACTGTAAGTATTTCTGGAAAATGACCATAACTATATGCATCATACCGCATTGTCCATATGGCAGTATTTGCCACATGACATACACTACCAAAATAATTTACAATAATTGCTCTAGGCAATGCTAGAACACAGCAGACTTCCACTGAGCGATAATAATTTTCCTACTTACCTGAATAACCTTTACATCCTGTTGATACCTYGGTGGAAGACCAAAATGTAAAATCCAATTCAACCTTGCACCAAGCAAGATGATTACATCAGCATGCAGTAATGCCCTAATAAATGGAAAATGAGAGAARCAGATAAGAAGGAATCACTATTACATTTAATAATCTTTGGAAAATTAGAAGCAATCCTAACCACCASAGCAAACCCTAGAATATATATGTAATTCTACTTTCCTATAAGCTGCTTGCTTAGCCCCAAACCCCTGTATCTTTTTATATAGCCAATCACCAAGCCATTCTTGAGTTCAGGAACTTAAGAAAATGATTATTATTTTCCTATTACACTTAGGAATCATTACATTAGGAGACTAAGACGATGTTAGAATGATGCTGAGGTTAAAGCAAAAGACTCAAAACTGTGACACTGGGAACAGTGCCAAAATTATGATTGCAGTGGGCCTCTCYGTTTAGTCTCCCATTAATTTACCTTTCAGATGGGCAGACAATATTTGGTATATTCTTTTATTCTCCATCCTTCTTAACAGCTTGCCTAACAGTGACAAAACTAACATGCTCAGCAATGGACAGCATTTTAATACCAGAGCATATAAATGCTCCATCTGCAAGCTGACTCTGCGAATATTCACACATAGTAATATTCTTACAGTCCATTTAAACACAGTCTCTCAGTGTAGTTTGAAATATCTTACTTTTCTTTATAAATGAAGTGCAATTTAGTGAAAGGGTATTGCAAACACCAAACAGAGACAACAGCTGGCAAAAGTTCAACTGCAACATGGGCAGTTCAAGCTTCTGTCCAATGCACAGTTTAGTAAATGTTTAACATAAACTGTTTATCAGTTCTATTTTATGTTATAAAATACACACTAACAACATTGATACATCTACTTGCCATAGATTCCATAGTTATAGAATATAATATATCTCAGAGAATATCTTCCTGGTCAGCATTCTAAAGTAATCTGCTTAAATCTCGTCCCTTTGCCAGCCAGATCTTCAATGCTCTACAGTGAGGCACAAAATGTGGGTGAAAAATTTTTGTGGTATGAACTTTCTCTTCTCTGGCATTTGTAGACCACCAGAATTCCTACTTGTTTCTCAGATGTTAGGATTAGARGCCTTGCTTTATATTTACGTTGATCTTGCTGCAGCTACACAATTTGGATGGTTATCAGGAACTACTCCTTTTGCCATTGGTGTAGGCAAAAAAGGCAGTCCACAAAGGTCCACCAACTTTCTGATGTTATTTTCAGCATGTGAATAAGCAGCACCTGAATGAAACAAAAGAGAYTGATTAATACTASACAAACCAACTGTTTGAAYATGAATTAACTTGAACTTCAATTAWCCTGATTACATTAGTGGCAGAAGAGTAATGTTTCCCGTTATGAAAGCTGCCTGTTACTTTTCATTTTGAAGAACTCAAAACTTTAAATGCCCAACCAAAGATAACTGGGGTTAGAATTTCACATATTTTTGACAAAATGTTTTGTTTTTATTTTTTTTGTAAGACATCGGCTGAACTATTTTCTCTATTTTTGTGAAGCAGGGCAGGGAAAAATAGGAGATCTTATTTTTTAAAATGACAATTTCTAGTGGGTGAAGTTTGATTATTATGGGACAGAGACTTCTGCAGCAGCAACACAAGATGACCTTAAGGTTGTGTCATTTCTTGCTTACCCCCTGCATGYTGCTGTACCACATGCTCCATAAAAACCTTCCCAAAGAGTCTACTATTAGCTTTCAGTGAAAAGAGAGAAGCACAAAGAAGTCTTTGCAGAGGTATCTGTTTGTGCACACTTTTCCTGGAATGCTGCAGCAGTACACGGCTGCTGAGTTAAGCCTGCCCAGGCAGCCTGGAATAACTAACCAGACTTGTGCAATAAGTAAGTCTGTGAGTCTTAAATCCTGAACTGTATCTTTCAAAAATGCTGCTAGTAACAATATATAGCACCAAGYCCAGATATATTTGTTGAGTATATTCTCAACTGCTGACGTCAACAAAAAATGGATCTATTTTTTTTTAGTTCTCCTCCTTTCACTTTCACAGAACAMTCTTTTGTTCATGTATAATCAAGCCAGAGGGAGAAAAAAAAAACAAACCCGTAACCTCTCATGATCTACCTTCTGTTTTCAATTTCATTACCTAATTGTAAGATCCATCTCATTTCAACCATTGTACTCCCTAATTAAACATAGATAGAGATCATTCCCCACATCTGCAGGAAAACAGTCGGGGTTAATGAGCTGGTTATTTTTATTCTGTTCCTAGCTGACCTGAATATTCAACAGAAGCACCACTGCACTGGCTAACACTGCACAAGGAGGCAAAAAATAAATGAACCAGCACAGAAAATAATTAGCCTCCATCTCCAGGAACTGATTACACTACCAGAGTACAATGAAGTCTGTAAAACAGCAACAGCAGCAACACCTGCTATATTGTTTTATATCCTCACATAGGTAGCTTGGTATTTTCAGCAAGAACCAACAGAAAAATGACCTTTGGTYACTCTGATTCTTGCTATATAATCCAGAGCATCAGATAGAATATAATTTCTTTAATAGAATTTAACTTGTTTGGAATTTTGGAAGTGATCCCTTGGTATTTGYTCTTGGTTTAAAGACAACAGTTATCTGATTTTTTTCTACATAAACTTGTATTTCATCAATTGATTTCTCTTTAAACTAGATGAGAAATACAACCATTACAGAACAGAAAAAGAAATTCTAAAACCAGAGCAAATTTTAACATTAAATTCCAAAGAATTCTGTGTTTTTTCTACTGGTTGGTTGCTTTGTTTGTTTGACTAAAGGTAAAAAGAAGATGAGTAACACCTGCGGAGAAAAGCAATCACTGCTCTTGTACTGAATGTGCACAGTTCACAGCTACATCAAAGCTTTATACCTTTGCCAATAATGAGCAGAGGCTGCTTGGAAAGWGCAATGACAGAGGCTGCTTTGGATACAGCCGAGTGTTCAGCCATGGTGATGGGAGGGGGCAGGCAGCATTCCACATACCTGCAGCCAAGCAAAACAAAAGAGGCTCTTTAAAAAATTCAAAACAAGAAATGTTGAAAGACAAAACCYATTGTTAGCATAAAATTGCAGTTGCTACACACCATGCTACAGCATTTATTAAAACAGGATATATATTTTTTTAAACAGGCTTTGAAGTTTTCCTTCCTTGTTTCTTTAATCTTGTAGGCAGTGCTGTTTCAGAGATTTACAGTCACATATTATCATATTAACTCATTCTTTTTTGTCCATTTCATTACWAACTGTAACCTATATCATGTTATGATAGAATGTTCCATTTAGAGTCTGGATTTTCTTGTTTTAGGAAAATAAAATATCAAATTAACCTCTAATTAAACTTTCTTTTGTTCAGTGACTTGAAAAATAATGAACATAATCTTTACGCACTTGACAGAGCTCTTATTCACCTGAAGATTCACAAAATCCCCAGGTATGTCAATATAGCAGGAGCCTGGACGACCATACATACTGGTTCTTACAGCCTAGAAAATACATAATCATAGTTTTAATCACTGTTTGATAGGATTTAAAAAATATTTATGTTCAAAAAAGCAAGAAAACCCTTCTGTAGGCAGAGAAGGTGCAGTTTCATTTTGCTGATTTTTCATAGGAAAAGCATTCATGGGTTGATTTAKAGCAACAAATTAAAGTTTTGATGGTAATCACATTTTCCCTTATATACCAGCAGGAGCTGTTCAGCAGATGTACAGTACTGGAYACTAAATTCTCTGTTTAACTTACAATTAGACAATTATATTATTAGCTGTTATGTTTGGACATGGAAAATTAAACATTCATGCTGAATTCTACTTAAAGTAGCACAAACAAAGTAAAACCAAGATAACCATTCCCTCAATTTTCTATTACTTCGGATTCCAGTTCTTCTATTGCAGGTAGATGCTCTGCTGAATTGGCACTTCTGGCAACATTATGACTGTATGCAGAATTTAGGCTGACATGGCTGAAGGGCTGCTACAGCAGTACCAAGAGACTTCTCTAATCCTCTCTGAAGTGCTGAGATAAGGATGTGTTTTCTCTCACTCTCAAAAAAACCCCAACAAAGCAACAACCAAACTCAAAACCCAAACACAACCATCTCCACTGCACTCCCCTCCAAATCTCCTTCACMTRACAGTGGTGAAACAGCTGAAGCATTAAATYTCTAGTTATTTCATCTCTCTTTAAAAGCATTTATTTCRTAAAAAATTTCCAACTMTGWCTGAAGCTAASAAAAAACACTGCAGGGATCAGTATGCATCAGATTCTATTRGAATCTATTTCTAACTTATTCCATAGCATTATTCATAAGGCAGAACCTCRCCAATTGTTGATTTGTTTAATCAACCATTGCCTCATATCTGCCAGAGCAAATTACTTAGAGTAATAACTATACAAAAATAAACCCTCAACTMTTAAACAGGAGACAGTTAACCTGATGTTCTGTTGTTAATTTTGTATTTTTTCATACCTTTTCAATAACAGCAGGAATAACTTCCAGGCTGCTTGGGCGGACAGACAGCTTGTTGTACAGCCTGCCAGCTTCAACCTGAATAAAAGCAAATAACCATTAATATTGATCTACCAAAGTGATTTGCTCATTTCCATCTCATTTCATCATGAATAAAAGGAAGGAAATGCCAGATGAAAAGCAACAAGGTGAAAACTTCCCCATAGAAAAATGCAGTAGCAGCTGGTGAAAACTGTCAAAACCATAATCATTCCTCTGAGTGCTTAAATTTTATGGGGTTTTTTTTTCCTGCCCCATGCATTGGTTTCTTTTCTTGGACATTTTGCTTTTGTCCATCTCAGAACAAACAAAGGTAATTTATACAAGCTAAGAACCTAAAATAGAGTATGAATTCTTACATAAGTAGGGACCAAGACATTCCAGGTAATCTGCTGTATTTACACTATGTCAATTTTAAACCAGCAGATGGAGCAAATCAACAGTATTATAAGATTTGTTAGGAAATGTTGGTGTTTGGGATTGGTTTTCCTACAATAATGAAGAAACAACAATTATTTAACTGAAACCTTYGTGCAGAAAGTTGTATGTCTGTGTACCTGTGGGAATTCTTGGAAAGCTCCCATTGTTTCCTGATTTCTGTCAGAAGAACCTCCAATAACAATCAAAGGCCTAGAAAAGTTAAAAAAAAACCAGGAAAACCCTGTAAGTATATATATATATATATATATATAGATAGATAGATAGATAGATATATATATATATGTATATATGTATATATATATGTATGTATGTATATATATATGTATGTATGTATATATATATGTATATATATATATGTATGTATGTATATATATATATGTGTATATATATATATTTTGTAACTGCAATCACACCTTACAGTCAAATCATACTGCACTTGGTATGCTGTGCACCATTAGCATCCACAGATCTCTACAGGAATAAACACAGAATACAGAAATAGATTCCAAATATCAGAATATCAGCCTGTAGCCTTCTCTGCAGTTTTGGGCAACTAGTTTTAGGACAATCTGGCTTTATTAAGTGACTTGCATAACAGAAGTTCCAAAACCAAATCCCATTGCAGGCAATTTTCATTCAAGATTGATAATGTGGGTGACACRATACTTTGAGGGAATGACAACACCTAATAAGAAGCTAAAAAGTATTGACTGGTCTAAAAAGTATTAAGATGTGTGTTTTTAAGGGGTATTGTAAGATGCACAAACACTAGAACTAAGAAACAAGTTAAGATAAATTTTAACRATTATGTTTCCTTTGTATACAATTTGGAATAAAGCAGAAATAAGCTGGTTGAGGGCACAACTCCCTGCATTATGCTTTTAGTAAAAAAAACCCCAAACTCCAAAGAAACAAACAAAAAATTAACATGCCTGCAAGCAGCCCTGACCATAAATTAGTTCATGGCTATGTGAGGAAGGCAGTATAGTTTACAATGAGGGTTGTACAMTCCACAAGAGCACATTTTTATTATAATTTCCACAAAATACAATAAATAATTTTCTTACAGTGAATGAAARCCTGCCTTTTATTCAAATTGTAGAGGTCAAACTCCTTAAAATGCCAAATGCTGAGTCAAYAGAAAAAAGATGTTTTATTAATCTGCTTATTCATCCGCACTATATTGAAATATTGGGTCAATAGCTTTCTAGGCTTTTCTCTTTAACAATTTCTCTTCAGATACAGCCCTTCCTTTGACTGCATTTATCTATACAATGTATCAAGTTGAAACATTTATAGTCGGTTCTATGCATAACCCTAAATTTAATCACCCATAAGACTTGGGGATATGTGTATCTAGATCCAAGATTCTTAACCAAGCTATTTCTCTGCCATAAATAAAAAATCTCAGTTCTAATCCCCTGGCACAGTGAAATGAGAACTCCAGATTGTATCTTACCTCTATGAAAAAYGGTTATGGAAAAATGCACTTGGTGATTGCTTTACACATTTTATTCTGCTTATTCTCTCCCCTCAGCAAAATGATTATCATTACCCATATATAACAAGATTGTTTGACAGCGACAAACCCTATGCTACTCTCTTCTTTCTTATAACAACCCCCTCATTCAAAAGCAAGGTTTTTGTATGATTTTCCTTTTTTTAGTCTAAGGTSACATAGTGACAGCAAAACTTTAATAAATAACTATTTTTTTTAAAAAGAATTCCAACACTAGAGGTCTTTTTTCAAAATAACGGACTTGATTTGTTTGTGTTCCCATTACYGAGCTTCCCTCATCCATCAGCCCTGCTAATTTAATGTTCCAGATCCCACTGTCCTGGATCACATTMTATTCTGTGAACACATCTGCTTGGTATTACTACAGCTTCTTCCCAAAATACCTCAAGTACAGTTTTCTGAACAGCTTTCAGTGGCAGACCAGATAAAGTTGTCACGTCTCCGTGAAGGCTTATAGGAGTAAATACTATCACTCTGTATATAATTTAATTCAATACTTAATTATGGCTCTAAATGTCTGCGTGGGGAGCAAATAGGGATTTTAACAATGCAGTTGTCAATTTATTCACATATGAAATGGAGTAATTCAAAAGCAGTATGAAAYTTAAATTTAGAAAACACCTTTAATATTATTCCATGATCATGAAAGCATTAAAGGCTGAATATCGACCTCATTTTCAAACCTATCCATACAACCAGCTATACTGATATATTTTCTAATACCCACACAATGGGGTAGGACATAAAGAAGAATTTTTCGATGAGAACACAAAAAAATTGAACAAAATTAAGATTGATAAAGAAAGAATTCCTTTCTCATTATCCACATGAAAGGAGAAAAAAGGTAAAATACTAAATGCTGTGGAGTTCAACATATGAAACAAGTAACACCACACAATGATAGGAATTTTAAAGGGAAAATGCAGTTAAATTACCAGCAGTTAATGGTTGCATTTGCCATCCCACCAAGGGTGTGTAAGAAACCTGGACCAGACACAGCAAGACATACTCCTGGCCTAGGGAGAAAAAAACAAAAAGAAAAAAAGAGTGAGAAAAAAAAGGAAAGTGAGCACAGGGGAATCAAAATAAATAATCAACAAAAATAAGATACTGAAATATAGAATATTAACGTTTTACTCATCAGCAAAATTCATGAATGGCTAGGAATTTGTATGAATGACTAAAAATAGACATGGAAATCAGAAACTATCTAGCTGTATCAAACCAACTGGAAAAACAAGTGCCCAGTTATGTGCCACCCACACAGAGGTGTGTAACATACACAGGTTTATCCCAACAGTTAAGCTCCTGACTTCATGACATTTGCTCCACCAGCTAACATTTACATGGAATTTGGTAAACTTATGTTTGCAGTTTTCTCAACTGCACTCTGTCAGCAGTTATCAATGAAGAAGGCTCACACTGGAAGAAGTGCATCTGATTCAACACAAATTTTACTACAATTTCATTCAGGCAGAGGCAGTTGTTATGCCAGATGAGGAGATAAAAATTATAATTCTTAACTAGGGAGCATTTCTATAAAGCTTTGCACACTCTTTACATACCTGCCAGTCAAATATCCAACAGCAGATGCAGCATAACAGGCCTGTWGAAAATATTGGATTTAGTGATACAATTGTTATGTATACATTTAATGATATTTTTTACATAATTTTCAACAAAAATACCAAAAATAAGAAGGTACACAGATTCTTCCCTGACTATYAGAGCTTAACTGTAAGTAAAAGCACCATTTTGCCCTCCCCATYATGTGTCCATAAAGATTCACATGAAAAATCTCAGGACTCCTCTCCAGTTTTCTCCACATTTCAGGCTCCCATTGTTCCAATRTATTACATTAGGAATATTTGGGATTCAAAAAAAGAAAAAAAATCAACCCAACTAAAACTGGGGAAGCAAAATGAATACAACAATGCATGAAACTTCTGCCTTCCACTACCTTCTGGACTAACATGGAAGAGGGATTTGCAAGAGAAAGCAAGAAATCTAGCCATTCTGAATTGTATTTCAGAAATTTCACTGTATTTCAGAAATACTGTATGTAAAGAATCAAGCAAAAGGTTGAAATCTCACACTAGAGAGAATAATTAGACAATTAGGGATTGTCTTTTACAAACTGACCTGCTGAAATACTTCTCACTCCACTTCAGTGCTAGACTTTGCTTTAGCTACATTGACATTTAAAAAGTGTTTTGAATAAAAAGCAYAAAAGTAACATCTACAACATGTGTTAGCATAGCTTATCAGCAGTGTTATTGCAGAGACTGTTTTTATGCTATTCCTGTAGTGATATTAAACATTTGGATAYAAATTTCACCAGGTAAAAAGGCAGTATGTGATCAAGCACAAACATAAGTTTACAGGTGGCACAAGAACTCACACATGACATTGCCCTCTCTCTTATATTTTCATGCCCTTGTCTTGAAATCAGCMGTTCTAACACTTAATGGGAAAAAACTCATTTTGAAGTATTTTGTAATTTGTTTTAAGTAAGCTTGTGGCCTTAGAACMTGCCTCTTTCAGTTTTAAATGGAGTTGAGATTTGATTTTTTAGTTATAATTGAGAACTCTGGTGCTAAGATGCCCATTTTAGTTCCAGCTGTCATTACTAAAAGGGTTCTCGAGCCCAATTCCCTCGACAGCTGCACCAACTCCAGCATACTGACTTAGGATACCAACGTCAAGAGATTGCTTTAAATACATGGTGATAATTATTACCAAAGATTAGAAACAAAACACAAGCAATGTGTGTTAAATAAAAGATATGATAAATATTTTGTAAATATTGTAATATTTTGAAGTTTACAACAGATCTGGTTTTTTATCAGTCTTCTAAACAATCACAGGAATCTCTAATTACCCAGGGACAGATACACAAAACACACGCCCCTATAGAGTTGCAACACCATTTTTCACTGTTCAAAGGGCATATGGATGCAGGTCAAATTGCTTCTGGCAAACTTATGCCATATTACAGGCCACAGGAGTATGGCTTATGGGTATAGGTAGTGCTACTTTTAGCTTCGTGCTTTCATCAGGTGTTCCCATTTTGTAGTTTTATGGGCTTTTTACAGAAATACAGAATCATTAAGGTTGGGACAGATTTCCAAGACCATTGAGTCCACCCTTGGACCAAACACCACCTTGTCAACTAGACCATGTCGCTAAGTGCCATGTCCAGTCATTTTTGAACACCTCCAGGAATGGTGACTCCACCACCTTCCTGGGCAGAATAAGGACATAGGGATAATTTTGTCAACACTTGTCAGTTTTCCATAACTGATGCCAAACAATCAGTATATTGCTTGATTATTACCTTAATTTTTTATTGTTTTAACTTGTTTATGGATCCTATTTCCTATGAACACTTCTAATTAAAATGTTACCACTTTTACTTGCTACATCTGGCTTAGAAATGAGATAGAAACTCAACCCCTGGGAAACAAACCTTAATTTTCCATATAGCTTATATCAYATACAACTGTCTTCACCAATAAAAGAAACAGCTGTATAAACATCCTCCACAGCCAACCACACAACTGAGACATTTAAAACTTTCACATGTAAATAATGAGTGCATCTTGAATATACTGTATATAACCTTTCACCCTCTCCTGTGCCAAGCAATGACTCTATTATTCACAGAAGAGAAAGAASAAACCAAAATTCCCWACAAGATGCATMTTCGTTCATCCTTTYCCACTCCCTAAAGAAGAGAAATCCTGATATTTTGACATTAAATCAAGTCTTTGTGTTATTTTTATTCCACTAAGCAAAAGAAGCTCATCATTTACACAGCAGAATGTTTCTTGTCTCCTTCAYCTAGTAAAGAGTAATAAATAGAACAGCATCTCACTTGGCAGTGCAAAGCAATCTTCTCTGTTAATTACARACACACAAGGAAATTAATTTTAATCATGTCAATAACCACAGCTAAAACTAGAATATTTGTAAATGGCCTACAGGAACATAAAGACTGTTGAATTCCCAGTCCTTCAAAGAATCAAATACACCTTTTAAACATGTTTGTATATACTTGCTTCCCTCATATGTTACAGATTTTCCACAGACATGCCTTCCTCTAAATTCTCACATTCCAATATAAGCATGTAAGGATTAGACAGCAAAAACATGASCACCTGATTTAGGGGACCTAATGCTACAATACTTTGTTGAGGACTGAGACAATCCAAAAGGTTATTAACTATAAAAATTAAGGAGAACTGGCAACTGCTGTAGACCAACTCCTGGTATGGAAAGCTGATGGTCCATTTGCCACCAGTTCAAGAGCTGGTAGTTCAAGCCAGCAACCCATCTTGTGCAGCAACCCTTGAAAACGAGGTATAAACCTGAGGTTATTATCTTCAATACCTTCAGACCCCCCAAGAAACTACTGAGATCAAAGAGTTTCTACAGTGGGAAACCAAACAAAATGCAGAACTAGCAGCATAACACCAAAATGCTGAGGAGCTTGACTCTGAATTCTGATACCTACAGAACGATATTGAAATGTAAATAAGTAGGAGAGTCTAAGCATATGTTCATGCTTGATTTTCAGCACTCCAAAGCATTATTATTTTCTATGGTTTCTTGCTTCATGAGCTTTTAAAATGCAGTTAGGGAAAAATAATCATAATTATTTAAATTGTCAGAACAAGTTTATSAATCAACAGGAAAACTTTCCTCTTTGGGCACTTAAGAACACTGCATGGACAAGGAAAAAAGTAATGAAGTGGGTACTAAAGCCCTAAAAAGAATTAAAATCCTACCATTTGGAGTGAGAATGTTAATATTGTCCCAATTTGGAAGGGAAGACATCAGTAAAAGGAAATAGTGAAAAAAAAATGAAGGAAGAAGAATATTAGAAAGAGTGGAAGAATATTGAAAATATAGCTACAGAAAAACAAAAAGCCCTGGATAAGCATCTAAAAACCTGGCAGATAAAATCTGACAATATATCACATGAAGGAAACAAAAATGGCAATTTTTCTGTTCTCGATCACATGCTTTTTATTTTTTTTTTCCTATCCTTGCTCCCTTATCAGAGAATGGCATTTTAAAATGAAAGAAGATGCAATTCTCTTTGGAGGGGGCACTTTAAAATGGAAGTGGGGAAAGAAGGACACAAAGAAACACTCAACCCAATGTACCAATGTTCTCCATTATTCCAAAATAACATGTTCTTTAAAGGAACATTCAGAGATCACATTCCTTCCAATAAGAAAACTTTTAACTGGGTTTCATTCCATTGTAAAACAGTTAAGGAAAGGTCCCACTACAGATATATACTTACAGCTTGTTCATTTCTCATTCCCACATATTTTATTCCAGCTGCCTGGGCTGCAATTGCGATTTCAGTGACTGGAATGCCAACAATGCCAAACATGTATTCAATATTCTATAAAGAAAAATGTTGCAACAATAAGTTGTTGGGTTTTTTTTCCCCCCTGAAAGATAGCTTTAATAAGCACATGCCAAGCATAGACATGCTAACTACACAAGCAGTCTAAAACTAAAATGTAATTACATATATAGTGATGTAGAAGTTCAGAGATCACTGTGGAAACATAGAGCTGGCATCAGCTGGTGTTTGCAGCTCAGCCTTCTGTGGTTGTGAAAGCGCTGGATTTTGGGGCGGTCTACAAGCAGTGGAACAATGTTTTAGTGCTTCAGTCAACGTGTGTTCAGTGCTTTTTACTTACTAGTTCTTACTTGGGACATCTCTGCTATGTCTCTTTCCTGTTTCTCACTATGTCAGCTTCCTCTAGTCTGAAAACATACCATGCCATCTTGCGTATTTACACTTTCACAGAAAATTAACGCCAAAAAGGCACCAAGAAATGACTGGTATAGTACACTGTCCACAGAAACACAGAGATAAAGAAGACTACGCTTATCTTGACTACAACTGAACTTCTTTTCCGTGTTTCACAGGCCAAGTGCAAAGTCTTCTCTCAAGACCCGTGCCAGTTCTAAAGGCATCTCGAGTTTAGAGACAGCACAGAATTTTCGTCACTTTAAAGGACGCGCAGGACACACATCCAGCTGACACGGAAAGAGCCAGAGAGGGCCTTCGGCACTGCTTGGTGGTAACGGGAGCACTGGCTGAGCTCGGGAACGGGGCAGAGCTCGGGAACGGGGCAGAGCTCGGGAACGGGGCAGAGCTCGGGAACGGGGCAGAGCTCGGGAACGGGGCAGAGCT